CTATTCTGAACAGCCCTAAATTTAAAATAAAAAGCCCGACCCCCCCCCCCCCGCCTCAAACTATATGGGTATTTGAATGTTATTTAGCAACAGGAGAATAACAACTAATCTTAATGATCATAAGACGTTAAACAGATCCGTCCAGTGTGACTAGTCACACTGGACTGAACTGTTTAACTTCTTATGATATTGTGAGTGTGACGGACCACAATGGAAACAAACCAAATCTTAAGTATATTTACTTTCTGAGAGGGTGCAGTGTTAACATTACTGATGGTAGGGGTTTATGAAGTACACCGTTGGGATGGTCTCAGGTAGCATGAGAGACATACCAAGGTTCATGACGATCAGTCGGGAGCTCAAAATTTGTCAGGGAGGATAGACATACAGAGCAAGGTAATCTCATAAGCCTACTTTTCTTCCAAAACGGGGAAAACATTCTAAAGAAGAGAGATTACGTTAGAGGAAACTGCAGATGTTGAACTTCCTAAAACACAACATGGTGCCTAAAATGATTTTACGAACATTTACCGCTAGACGAAAAATCAAGGAACTCTTAACCAAAGGATTTAAAGGACTTAAAAATGATGGCGCTAATGTTCACTGGTTTCCTATAGCTATAGATGAAAGCGCCGATGTGAACAGTACCACGCAACTTGCTGCTTGTGGAATCATCAAACGGAGTTTAACTAGAAATTAACTGCCTTGATCCCAATGGAAGGGGCCGATCTTTTTTCCCCCTTTGGCGCCACAGCCCCAATTTGAGCCTTGGCCTACCTCCATGAAACTCTGTTTCACTTCGGTTTACTAATCTTAAGACATTCGGTATGACCCTTTGAGCGGCTGCTCAGCTCGTCGCAGGGTCTATACCTGTACACAAACACAGAACCCCCCTCACACACACAAACACTGAACTCCATGTCCTGAGTGGGATTCGAACCCACGATCCCGGGTTCCGAGCGAGCGAAGACAGTGCATGCCATAGACCGCTTGGCAACCGTGACCGGCGGAAGGGACCGCTACAGATACAAATTTATATGAAGATGTCAAGTAGGTGCTGCAAAGTTTGGATATGCTAAAACTGAAACTAGCTAGACTAGTGACGGATGGAGCAGCAAGAATGGCCGGATGAAACAGTCGCATATCTTCCAAACACGTGAAAAATACGATGGATCACGACTTTATTATACTCCACTGCTTGTTACGTCAAGAAAATCTGTGTGCGAAACCTCTCAAGCCGACAAATGTTATTTCAGTGGTTTCAAAACTCGTAAATTTCATTGGGTAAAAAAAGAAATCAGCCGGTTACGGTAGCCGAGCGGTCTAAGGCATGCACTGTCTTCGCTCGCTCGGAAGCCGGGATCGTGGGTTCGAATCCCACTCAGGGCATGGATGTTTGTGTGCGTTTTTCTGTGTTTGTCTACAGGTAGAGGCCTTGCGACGAGCTGATCACTCGCCGAAGGAGTCCTACCGAATGTGTAAGATCTAGTAAACTGAAGTGAACGGAGTTCATGGAGGTAGTCCTAGGCCCACTGGGGCTGTAGTGCCAAGGGGGGGGGGGAAATCAATCATCGCCAATTCAGAGACTTCTTGAGTGACGTGGACTCCGAGCATCGATATGTTCTCTACTATACGCTCAACCGTGGTCGGATGCTTAAACGCGTGTATGACCTGAAGTCAGACGCTGAATTATTTCTGGAAATGAAGCCGAACGTCTTCCTCAGCTGTATCATCACGACTGCATGTTCAACTCTGAGTTTTATATCGAATATATGAGCGAACTGAACATCAGCATACAAGGAATGAATAGGATTGTCAATGAAATTTTTGGCAAAATAACAGCGTTCAAGAGGAGCCTTAGATTGTGGGAGCTGCAAACAATGACACAATTCTCAATTATGAGAACGGGAATACCCACCGATGCTGTGAAATATGTGGAACACTCAGCTTCTTCAACTAGAATTCAACTCCCGTTTCCAAGATATATGCAAATCTGAGGCCAAAGCAAACATATTCTCAACGGCATTTGGCGTTAATGTTGAAACGGTTCCAGCCGATTCCATCAGAGAAGACAGATGAAAACTGTGATACGGATCTCAGGAATACATTTAGGCACGTGCGATTCCTTGGCTTTCATAACAATTTTCCTGTGTGGTGACCATGGACGGCGAATGATAAGATTTTCTGAAACTTATATGTTTTTGTGAAATAATTTTCGAAAATGAAAGTGGATAAGATTAAATCCATAAATCGACTCGACGATCGAAGATTGGAAAGGTGCCTCTGACTTCCTGCTTCTTTCGTATATACAGGTACTTATAACTTCATGGCAAATAAACAGTGGAAAATTTCTCATTGATGTTGTTCCATCCTCAAAATACAACTTAAGCAATAAAAATATATTAATGTTTTAATTGTATTAATACTACTAATTATGTTGTTCGGAAGTTTGATTTAAAGTATAGTAAACAAAAAAAATATGGCTTTCTTATCAGTCGCTTGTGGGCAGCGCAACATTTTTAGGTTTTTAAATTGGTTCTCGTGCTAAAATGGCTGCCCATCGTCCATATTCATGAAGTATTTTTCATATTAAAATGTATGTTTGTGTTTTAATATTTTTATGATCAACAGTAATCTTTGTTATCGACGGCCCTAAGAAAAATCTTCCACTGCTCCCACTATGGGAATGCCTGTCTTACAAGACTGAAAATAAGACGAAAGTACTGCACTGATATGGACGTCGGGTAGATAGGTTTGCGAATAGAATGTGGATGGAACTGGCTCAGGATCGTTTATACTGGTGGGTTTTGATATCAATGGTGTTGCATCTTCGAGTTATACTAACAGAGACTTAATTAAAGTCATGTACTGCATGTAATATACACTGAAAATTGTGACTTTAGTAACTGCAACGTTAAAAAATACTTCCCATAATTATGCTGAACTGTCTTCGTAATTTCAATTATTGAAGGAAAATAAAAGTAAAAACACAAACAAAAAACAAACTCTGTGGCTTGAGTCCGCAAGAGAACTACACCGACCGAGCGACCGCCGTTTGTCTGCGAAGTTAGTGCTAACTTTAGCGGATAGAGGGTGTCGCGTGGTCAGCGCAACGGATTCCCACGGCCTTTAATTTCGGTTTTCTAGACCAGAAAAGTAAAAACACAGTATGTAAAAATTATCAAAATATGTAGCACACAATATTTATATTGAATATCAATAAGTTTTTTCTTAGCTCTGTAAACAGGTCTTTCTTCCTAGGTTGTATTCACTGATACAACAGAAACTTCAACTGTAATGAATTTTACTCTATTCTTTGTTCCTGTACAGAATTTTTCACTACTTAATTCAGCATTAAACTTACTGACTATATGCCACTATCTTCTATTTTATCCTTATGTCAAGTTTCACTCAGATAAGTGGAATTTTCGACCGACTAACTATTCATTTTCATCAGCACTGGGTAAAACAGCCTTGCGCAGCAACTTGCGGGAAATTCCATCGCTTTGATCGATATAATCGTGTCCAGCACGTAAGTTATTCACTATACGGGAAAGTACGCCTTGTCAGAACCGCTTTCGAAGAACACACGAAACCGGTCGTACTCATTTAGCGTATTCAGTTTTAGACAAAACAGTGAGAAGCAAAAGGCTGCTATTTTGTATGCATGGGATGACTCACATCTTCTTTGGGGGACTAGAAAACATAACAAGAATTTGATACGCAAAACACTGTAGGTATGAAAGGTTATATTTTCTTGGATATAAAGCCGGGTAGTCCGTTGAAAGTCAATCATGGCGTTATATCCCAGAAGATAGAATTCTTCATAACCACAGACGTGAGAATCTCAAATCCTACTTTGTAGGTACATTTATGCTCTATTCCCATACCAGTGCCATATGAGTGGCTATAATTGTTCATTATGCGGCCTCAAGGTACGCGGGTTCAAACCCGGCGGAGGTCGTGGAATTTTTAAGGGAGGAAAAATTCAGGGAACAAGTCCTCCGGGAAGGACTTTAAGCCGTGGGTCCCGTGTCGTAGATTTACGGCACGTAAAAGATCCTCATGTCTCTAGCAGACTCTGAGCAAAAATAAGCAACACATTTCCCGCCCAAGTAGTTTCCAACGCCTCTGGTAGATGGGGGAAATATCAGATACCGAGGGCCGACCTCGTTGGCTGAACGGGGCTGATAGCACGCACCAGTACGGGTAGGGTATGCCGACAGTAGAAATTAAAGAGGGACGCACAATGGACCAATAACTGGTCTAAGTGCATGGGGAAACCCACCCCCTCTAATAATAATAATAATGGTTCATTAAGACGTCGAAACTATTACGTGAAAAAAGTCTGAAATCCTGAACTACATTCGTGTAATAAACGAAACTCCAATGGGGAATCGTGCCATAGCTCAGATGGTTAGACACTGGCAGCCTGAATTCAATCCGATGCCAGGTCATGTAGGTTCTGTGGTGTACAAACTGGCATTGGGGCAAAATTTCTCCTAAAACTTGGATTTACCCTGCTAATTCTCACTTCACCGACTGTTCCATACTCATACATGATCAGGACTGGTATAACATGCCCCTTATGGGCTACGTACCAACTGGACCCAGTCTTACCTCAACCCACACAATAAAAAGTAGCTCCACTGGGTAATAAAAACTAGAATCACTTTGTGTGGGAGAAAAATAATCATGATAAGCTGAGACAACACTGTTCATTCTGGGAGAAGTAAAACGGAATTTCACTTGTCACTCACATCAGCCAGCCGTTGGGATGTGTATGTCACATTGCCCATCCGTCACCAGCAGAACTCACGGTGACTCAGCGGAGCTGAAACAGAATCAAACATTTCCAGTCATATATTAATATGCCTTCACTATTTACAGTTCATCTGGTATTTAACAGATGTCACCACTACAAGGAAAAATGTAGTTTATAACATTCAATGTGAGAGACTGACGTTTCAGTACACGATCATATCGAGAAACTCTAAAACGCTCTGGCGAGCTAGCATACCAAAACGTCTGCGAGAATTGTTCTTGCATTAATGCTTTATTACTTTAAGTCTGTGAATCAGGCTGCGGGCTTAAAATAACTGAAAGTTATCCCTCTGATAATCATAATGATTCCACATACGGCACGTCACGTGAGACCAAGAGCTATGTATCATCTGAATAATACAGAAAAAAATACAATACACGAACAATGCGAGTTTACTTATTTACATTTTTATCGTCTGCTATCCCCCACTTCGAATAGAAAAACTTCAATTTATGAGAATGATGGTTTGTTCACCTTCGAAAGAATCAGCCACATACGTGCAATAGAAGACATGGAAAGACACACTGTTGAGGGGGGCTGGGTGCGTCACAAATTGTGTAGCAGAGATAACTGCGTCCAAATGAATGGGAACATAAAATGGCAATACTATCTTCTCCATTTTTGTTTCCCCCCCTTAGTGGGGTGGAACTAAGTCCACTTGGTACTGCGGCCACTTCTGGCCTATTGTACCGGCCCCAGAGGATAGGTAAGGGTGATTGTGGAGCAATTAGTGGAATGAAGATTGGCAAGGGAAACCGAAGTACTCGGAGAAAACCTACCCCAGCGCCACTCTGTCCAGCACATATCCCACTTGACTAGACCCGGGATCGAACCCGGGCCGCCGCGGTGGGAAGCCAGCGACTAACCGCTTGAGCTATAGCGCGGCCCCCTTCTCCACTTTGTTTTCCTTATACTTACAGCATATAAATGTTAACGTTTTGCTTCCCATGCCGAACTACGCTGGATATCATCACTGTTAAAGAGGCGATTCGGAAGGCTGAGCCAAATATGTATATACGTAATAACATGTTTGAGAGGAAACGCCATCTCGGAGGACCATGGAGAAACTGTAACAAATTCAGATAAGTAGGCCTATTCGTATTCAGAGACAGGGGTCTGGAGCTCCGAAATATAATGTTACCGGGCCAAACTACTTAAACATCTTAAGTTATCACAGACCTTCCTCATGAAAACTTATATCATGGAATTGAGAATTATTTTGTACATCTACGTTACAATTTACTGAACGTAACTGTTTAAAATTTCTTAAAACGAGACTCTGTGAGAAACTTGTGGCGCCATCTCCTTCAAATCTGTTTCGTCAGTAAGAAGAAGCTAGTACAAATTACAAATGATTAATTATAGAACTTCGTGAACTACTTTTTTTTTCATTGGCGCTACAGCCCTCATTTGGGCCTAGGCCTACCTCCATTAAACTCTCCGTTTCGGTTTTACTAGATCTTAGACATACGGTAGGACTCCTTGGGCGGGTGATCAGCTCGTCGCGAGGTCTCTACCTGTACACAAACACAGAAAAACGCACACAAACATCCATGCCGAGTGGGATTCGAACCCACGATCCAGGCTTCCGAGCAAGCGAAGACAGTGTATGCCTTAGACCGCTCGGCTACCGTGACCGGCTCTTGTGAACTACTACTGTGTACAATTTTCATTACTACCGACTTCAACTACCTGCCACTCGTCATATAGGGTTACTTCACTACCTGGCGTCACAAAAAAATACGCTTATAAAATCTGCATACGTAAATTCCATAAGGTTCTGACGATGGCATATCACACTTGGGATTACGGAGCGTCTGGAATTTATCCATCTTCTAGAATTACGAAAAAACACGACCTTTTGGAATTTAGATCTGTAGACGGATCTCCTTCCTATCTGCTTTCTAACTGGACTTATTCTTCTTTCCTGAAGATTTAGGTGACATGTTCTTCCGAAACATCGATTGACTTTCAACGGACTACACCGCGTTATATCCTCATAACTACTGTGAGAACCTCAAATCGTACACATATCTATTTACGTCCTCAGGTGAAAAAGCAGAAAGACACTCAGTTGGAGCTGTCAGACTCATCAGTGATTGAGATTAGCATTTTATGCCAAACCTTATATTCCACCTGAGGACGGAAACAAATCAAGTTTCTGAAACTCTCTGTTCTTTCGGAGTACCAGACCGTGGGTAAAGTCCAAAATATCAGTTACACCATAAGTTGCATAACATTCGAAGACCCATAACTACACAAGCTGACGTGATGACAACAGACTCGTAGTCTGGAGGTGCTCGATTCAAATTTCGGGCACGGCATTTGTGATCATGAGGATTTTTCACGAACTTCCTCTATCCTTCCAGGAAAATGATGGGATACTACGTGAATTAGGCCACAATAACTTCCTTCCAAATCATCGTTTATCTATCCTACCATTCGACGCCACACAGTCTTGCTTCTGACAGCATCGTAAAATCCCCCCCCAACCCCAAAAAAAAAACTCAACATTAAGTGGCGCTAGCATTGATCCCACCTCGGACGTTCACACGGCTATCAAAATGGTATTATTGATGGCGCGACTTTCTGTGGCATGATATTGTCCTCTTATTTCTAGCTCTAGGCTATATAACCTTATCACGTATACTTTTAAAATACCAGATACACAAACAAGCAGTGTACCACAAAAACCAAGGCTCCAAAAATTAAAATTAAATTCACCAGTCCCTCTCCTATAGGCCAGCTACAGGCGTATGCTTCACACGAATGTCTTTACACTTGCTATCGACCTCCGTTAAGTAGTCCGTTGGTGAACATATCTCTGTACCTTTGGTCGGCCATTACATACATATCATGGATAATACCAGTAAACCTTCAACAATTATCAAAATAGTAATGCTACCATTTCAGAATTATAGGTACAGTTGTTTGGCAGGTTATATTCTCAGAAGAGCGTGTAAATAAACGACTTACAATTGAAACCGATGTTACTTCAAGCATAAATTGATCCCCGTACATCTACGCGCGTGCACAGTTGTTTCAATAAAAGACTGCCGATGTGTTATTAGCATTACAGTAACCATATCCGTTGCAATGTTACGTATACGGTCTACGACACAAACAAGACGCATGTATGAACACTATAGCGTGCCCAACTGGCCCGGATGTACGTTAAATAATTTTGCTCAAAATACAGTGAAGGTAAGAGAGCCATACTTTATTACATATCCGGCAATGAAGCGAACACAGCCTTATCACATTCCATGGAAGAAGAAAAACTGTACATCTTATAAAATAAACTTCAAAATGTTAACACTTCAACAAATACAAACAATGATCAAATCAAGGAAAATGAGATTGGTTGAACGAAGAGAACACTGGGGAGGTGATAAATGCATTTTTCGACAGAAAACCTAAAAGAAAGAGCCCATCGGAGACGCATGCGTATATAAACAAATTCCGTGGCTTTACTCCGCAAGCGAACTATACCGACCGAGCGACCGCCGCTTGTCGGCGAAGTTAGTACCAACTTTTTGCGGATAGAGGGTGTCGCGTGATCAGCGCAACGAATCCCTACGGCCGTTAATTTCTGTTTTCTAGACCGGAGCCGCTATTTTTCCATTCAAGTAGTTCCTCAATTATCCTCACGAGGATGAGTGGACCCCGTTCCAGACCCACTACTTTTCAGAAAATCTGGTAGCGCTGAGAAACGAACCCGGAACCCCTGGATCTGTAGCCAAGAACTCCGACCACTAGACCACAGAGGCAGTCCAGGCGTATATAGGACGATAATATTAATATGGATGTTAAGAGAATATGAGGCGAGAGAGACGGAGGAGATTGAAGGATAATATTAGATACACTTTGAGGGGGGGGGGGAGAATGTGAGAATGAAAGTGAGAAGAAAATGACTTAGGATCATGTCCAAAGCTTTAGAGTTAGCGGTGTTGAGACTATGGGTCTGCTACCTGACAGGAGGTTTTCCGGATTCGATGTTTCAGCAAGAGGGAGAGTGTGAGGTTTCATGTTACTGGCACACCATCCATCATTTCAATTATTTTCGTTCTTCTTTTTATTATTAATATTCTACTCAGGATTGGCCGTCTTTAAATGAAACAAGAGAATGTATCTGCACGAGTATGTTTTGAGTCGACAAGAACTGAGTACCAATACATTGGCTATCTAAAACCTCTTTCAGGGTACGTCATACCTTGAGCAGCCAGCCTCTTAGAAGAAACGGTCTGCTTCTTCAACGAGATTTCCGATATATTGATTTTGGCACCCGTCGTATGTTGAAAGTATACTTTTATAAGTTTCTAATGATGATGTAACGGAAATTGTTACTGATGATGACGTAACCTCAAAGATGTTTTAGACACAGTATACCACGTAATTTGTTAAGGAGGAACTTCTAAAAGAGTATATGGCCTTGTGATTAGAGTCACAGAAGCCTGAAATTAATTAGCATGAATACTTCTAAATGTAAAGTAAGTAAAGCTATCCCTGTAACAGGCCGTGGAGGCCCATAGGGTTGTGAGATGTTGAGGCTCCCATATTTTCTAGACAATCGGCTCACAAATGGCGGCGAGGTTGGCAGCCTTACGCGCCGGCCGCCCTTTAGCCCCAGGAATATTCCTGGTACTTATTTCTGTTAGAGGCTGAGTCCATCCAAGGACCATAAAAATTGAAAAAATCCACCTCACCGGGATTCGATCGACGGACACGCAGACAAAACAGTGTGATATATTGTTGTCCCGCTTCAAAGCACCATTCCTTCCGGCTTGTAGCATAGTGCCTCAGCCAACTACGCTACCGCGTGCCCCCTCTAAGACTAAGGGTTAAAACACAACTAGATGGTTACAGTACAATCACGGCCCAATATTACAATAAAACTGAAAACAAGCTTGTTATTAAAGACTAATGGAATGAACTAAATTGGCCGAAACACCGTCATCTCTTACACTGAAACATAAATGACGGACACGCAAACAAAACAGTGTGATATA